AGACTCTGTGAAAGAAAAGATGTCAATTATAGAAATTAATGAAACAATACCAAGAGTTTTCAGTGGCATATTTTTCTCAGGTTGTGAATATATGTAGCTGTTAACCTCCTCTAGATTCACTTACTAAATGTCTAAAACATTAATGTCTAAAACAGAAAATTATTAAAAGGTAACCTTTCAAAAAGTATTCTGCATAGGCCCCAGGTTTCAAACAGCCAACACATGCAATGAGCACAGGATCTGGTCCCACTGCCTGGATGCCTCCCAAACAGATCAAGCCAATCAACTGTCTCACCCATTCAGAGGGCCTGATCCAGTTGGTGACCCCTCAGCCATTGGTTCATAGTTCATGTGTTTCCATTCATTTGTAGTGGGTAGCCATTCCAGCTTAGATCTGGAAGTTCCAACCCCCATTGAGACTTCGGCAACTGTCACGCCTACAAGGTGGGGCCAAGGGAGGCGCCTGGGGACCCGAGAGCTGGATCAGCGGGCGCTCTCTCAGTTGCGGGACCCTGGATAGTGGAGGTGGACCAAGCAGAGCTCCAGACAACACCGCTGGACTGTGATACACCTTCCCCAGACTCCGCGACCTACCTATTCCTTAATTTGTAAGTTACGCCATTAAATAAATCTCCTTTTAACTACGTGGAGTGACCTTAATAATTTCACCAATATTCGTTTGCCTGGAGGAGGTGGGAATGGGGGGTGGGCTAGGGGAAGGTGAGGGGGGGGGCGGAGGGGGGAGAACAAGAGAATCCGTGGCTGATATGTAGAACTGAATTGTATTGCAAAATAAAAATAAAAATTAAAAAAAAGTGTTCAAAGTAGCACCTCATCAGTTTGTCAATTTGTAGCTGTCCCCCTATAAAATAACACAGGTCTAAATTGTTAACTAGGTAAGTTCTATGTTGATCTAGTCACTCATTTATCTTTCTAGAAATAATTGCTGGGAAACTTTTCTGTTTTTTAGTCCAGGTATGAAGAATACAACACTGAACAAAGACCCCCTGACTCTTGGAACTGAGAATGACAACAAGGGTAAGGAAAACCAAGAAAAGAATCCAGCATATATGCAGTCATTTCATAGAATAATAAATAGCTGAAAATAACTGTACTGTTTTTATGGTAGTGAAGGAGTGTGTGACTGACGACCTGACAGTCTGAATGCCTGACAGAGGCATACATATATCTAGGGGAGAGTCAGGAACCTGGGGAAGTGAAAGAGACAAGTGTCAAAGGCATCAAGGCAGGACCATATCCAATAATTTGAAGTAAGGCACCCTATGTCTGCATTTGACCACCATGGGCAATCACTGTTTTCTACATTTAGGATCATTTTCAAATGTAAAGAACTATGTGACTTTGCACCAAGCACATACACCTTAGAGTCCTGCTCTTTTAATATTTTAAAATTCTGCAGCATTCACTTGGAAACATTTAGGAGTGTTATCATCAGAAAGAAATCTCTCAAAAGCTTTCAACTTTCCAATAGCACAAGTTCAATGAACATGCAATCGGACCATAGACTGATAATCAAATACATGCAGGACCAAGAAAAGTGGCTCATTACAATATTGTTAATGGTATGGAAACATAAGTAGCTTTCTGAGAGCCACAGTGTGCTTGGATCTTTTCAAGAGGACAGGGTTGGGATTGATGAGGGAAGTAGGCTTTTCTTTGTTTTTCCCCCTTTTAATAATTATAAACTAACCACATCTATTAGCATTCTCCGCAAAGGAACACGCATAATCAGATACAAAGAAAAGCATTTGCTCAGTTTTGGCAGGATCTTACCCTTACTGTAAAATAAAGCATTTACAAAGGACACAAACACACATCTCATAATATTTTACAACTATTCCTAAATCACCTTTTATAGAAAAAGCTTCCAGAGTGAGACAAGGGTTTAGTTTGGTTAGTTCCAATGCCAAGGTTAAACAGATGTTCATTTATAAATCTTAGCTACGATCTTAGTCAGTCTTAGCTACAATCTGTAGACTCAGAGGTTAGGTATGGAAGAAGTGACTGGGGGGACACATGGTTCTCCCTGGGAGGGGGGAAATAGAATAGATGTTATGGGTGGTCTGGGGGGGGGGGGCAAAAGAATGGGAGGATCAGGTCGGGGAGGGCAGGTAGGGTTGAGGGAGGGAATACAGGGAGATACAGCTAGAATTGAGGGATTTTAGGGATGGCATGGAAACCCAGTACAGTGGAAACTTCCTAAGATATATGAAGGCAATCCTAATGAAGTCTCCAAATGATGGGAGAGTGAGTCCCAAAGCCAGTACTGGGACTGGGTTACATCCAATTGAGTTCTAAGGGGACACACAGAAATCTCCAAACAATCCAGGCTGTAGAAAAGAATATAGGTTGCTCTTCATGAACAGACAGCAAGACCCCATTGCTGAAGACAACACAAACAAAACTCATTGAGGCAGGAGAGCTCAAGCTAGTGCAAACATAAAACCTTCACCCTATATCCTAGTCTCTGATGTAGGAAGGTACTCTGCAGATCATCAAAAGAGAAACATAAACACCAACCCAACCACAAAACTCTGATCTACAATCTCTCTTGCTTGAAAAATATATGCTAGGGCAATGGTGCCACAAAGCTTTTGGGAGTAACCAAGCAATGTTTGATTTGACTTAAGGCCTACACCACGAGATGGAAGCCATACACTGCTTGAGTGATCAAGAACCAGAGATTAGATAGCCAGGAGACCTAGGGTGAAACCAAATACTACTAGTCTTTAAAAAAAAAAAAGAGTGATAAAATCACTCATAATGATATTCTGCTATACTCAGGCTTTATTCAGCCATCCTTAGAGAAGCTTCCTCCTGCAGCAGAAAGAAACAAATGGAAGACATCAGGAGAATAAGGTCCTCTAAATCAACTGAGCAAAGAGAACTCAGAGACTGAAGCAACAAGCACAGGGTCTACACGGGTTTGTACCAGATCCTTTGCATATATATTATAGCTTTCAGTTTAGAATTTTTTAAGAATTCATGAGTGTGTAAATGAGTGGGTCTCTGATTCTTTTGCCTTCACTTGGGGCTCTTTTCCTTCTGTTGGTTTACCTTGTCCAACTTTGGTGTGGTAGTTTTTGTTTTATTTTATTTTGTTATGTTTTGTTGTTCTCTTTCAGAAGCCTGTTCTTTTCTAATGGGAGACAGAAAGGGGGTGAGTCTGGATGGGAAAGGAGGTGGGAAGGAACTGGGAGAAAGAGGGGGAGTAACTATAATCAGGATATATTGTATAAGAAAAGAATCTATTTTCAATAAAAGGGAAAATATCGGAGGGGAGGGCATGAGATATATTTAATGGAAATGAATTCTATGCATACATAAAGTTATGTAGCAATAAAATTATTTAGAATGTAATTAATCCCTATTGTGCCTAAAATTTCAAATTAAGGATGGCAAAATTTTTTTTAAAAAAGAACTGTAACAGTACCATAAAACTAAATATTTAACACATACATTCTAAATAAATACAAAATAAATCTTAGTCTATCTTTAGATTAGAAAAGTGATAGTTTTAATACTCAAAGGTTACCCTATCCTATAAATTCACTGTATTTAAAGAACTAAGATTAATGTATTCTTTCCTTTTCTCTTAAACTTTTATAGTCAATGCATGATGAACAACTATAAATAAAACTTTATTAAAGGTTATTCCATTAGTACCCACCACTAACCAATGCAATATTGACCACCTTGATAGGGAATTTTGAATAATAGCACATTTTCAAAGTTTATAAATGAAATTCAAAGAGAAGAAACAGTACTAAACTACATAGTCATTACATAATTTTATTACCCGCCGGGCGGCGGTGGCGCACGCCTTTAATCCCAGCACTCGGGAGGCAGAGCCAGGCGGATCTCTGTGAGTTCGAGGCCAGCCTGGTCTCCAAAGCGAGTTCCAGGAAAGGTGCAAAGCTACACAGAGAAACCCTGCCTCGAAAAACCAAAAATAATAATAATAATAATAATAATAATAATAATAATTTTATTACCTAGTAATTAAACTCCCGTATGAGAAAGAACTGTAACCAAGGGATCTACTTCCTGAATGTAATCTGTACCACAAAGAAACAAAACATAAACAACACACAAGAGACTCCATTTTGGCTGATGACAATTAGTCTACGGTGGGAAAAGAGGATTTGAAATGGAAGCAAAGACTCATTAAAAGTTAAACCTGCTTTGAACTGGGATGGAACCTATTACTTGCAAAGTTACCCTAGAATTTGAAGAGCCCATACTCCACAATTAAGCAGGAGCACCCTACAGGCTGAAGAAGGAAGAAACTTATTGACAATGAAAGTGAAGCTTCCAGCTAGAAAAACTACACTTGAATGACAGTTTCCCTAGAAATGAAAGAAATGCTGCTTGGAGGGTCATTCAACTAAAGCAAGACTAGAATCACTCAATGGCTTTTGAAGATCTTTTTTTTCTCAAGCAACTCTATTTTGCCTTCAAAAAGAATCCCTAACTTTAGAAATGACAGCTCTGGGAAGAAATTTTGATCCTAAAGACTATGTGAGAAGTAAATGCAGAAGGACCAGCCACTCACACAGCACTGGCAGAATGAAAGTGTTCAAAGGACTTTTTAAAACTTAAAAGAAAATAATCTTTCTTTTAAAAAAAAGCTTCTAAACACTTTTTATTTCTGTGATTTTTCTAATCCCAGTAGTTTTGTCCCATGTCTCTAGGCGCCACCCTAGTAGCATGGACATTTAGTACATATGCTAGCAGCCTTTTGTTAACTTAAGAATGCAGTTAACTTCTATCACAAACACATTTATGGATCTGAAAGAGCACAAGCCACTCCATGACTTTAATAAAGTCATCATTAATTTAAAAGTAAATCAAAAATGTCTTCCATTAGGTGGGCTTTATGTTAAATGTTTTTTTTTTTTAAATAGACATATACATGAAGTGGGAAGAGAGAGAGAGAGAGAGAAACAAACTTTGGGAGGCACTGGGCCTGTGATTACCTTGATTATGGGGAATTGGGTTATGGCATCATAGGTGTTTACATATATCCACACTCATCAAACTTCCCACATGAAGTATGTGTTGTTCTTTCTTTATCATTCTTCAATAAAGCTGTTGATAAAAATCACATGCCTCTGAAATGGTAAAGAACAAAAAGTCTAATTAACAGTAAGTATAGACCAGGAAAGTAATGCATTCAAAAACTCACATTGTGCCACAGGGTTAAATGATTCTGGAGGAGAAACCACCCTTGAAATACAGGTGTCTAATTAAAGTACATTCCTGTGAGCTGAGATTCCTTCTGCATTATGTTAGAGTAGCTATCACCATAACCAGGCACGTGGTGGCAGCCTGTCTAACTCTTGCATACCTGATGTCCTGTGACTACACTGACCAAAAACATTTATACCAGCTGATGGTCACTTGATCCTCACATCTCTCTATTTAGTAAATTGTTCTACAAGTCAAGTTGAGGTTTGAGGTGAACATTTCTGGGACATTCCTGTTCATGACACTTTTAAAAAGATACTCTCTGCCAAATAATTCTAGCCTGAACAGGCCTGGGAAGGGTTTGGGTTGGCACAAGATCCTAAACATGCTTCTAAGGATGAAACCTCTTCCAGCTAATAAAGACAGACTCAGACTAGTTTTTGAAAATAATATTTAGCAATTAGATGCATGCCTTTAATCCCTCTGAATGAAAAAAAGATCAATTTTTTAAACAATTACTGGATGAGAACATAAGTGGGTTTTGCTCACTAAATACACTTAGAGAAAAGGGATAACTTTACCTAAGTGACACACAGGGTTTTTTTGTTGTTGTTGTTTTTGGTGTGGATAAATTCCAGAAATCAATTACCTTAAATCCATTGTCTCCCTTCCTCCCTTCTCTCCCTCTCCCTCCACTCTTTAAAAACACCTAAGGCATTTTCTAGAAACAGTGTCAGCAATGTGAAAGGCAGTGAAAGATTCCTGTCTTTAAAAAAAGGGAAATAAAATTTGCATCCCATTAATGATAAGAAAATATGCACATCAAATAATTGTTTTCTGAACCTATAAATAATAGAAAGAATAAATAAATAAACCAGTCACTTTCTCCAACAAATGAATACTTGGTCTTTGGTTAACCACAACCCATTATTGGCCTTTTCATATTGTGTCTCACTTCTGAGCCATATGCACTTTTCTGAAGACATCTAACATCACAGGCTGTAGGTCTCAGTTATAATATTAACCACCAAGCCTCTGTTTTTGCCATTGTCCAACTCTTATGCCATCAAATATTTTCAAGGTACTGAATTTTTAGTTCTTCTGTGGCTCTTCTCAGACAACTTCTATTCAGCTCCAAAAAGCTAAAAGAGAAGCAAGTGGTGGGCCTTTTATGTACTGGTTGCTCACTCCTCCTGCCTGTGGAAGGTCCAGTTCTAGGCCTCCTCTCAGATGAAAAGAAGGATGCTTCTTTGGAGCTTGCTCCCTGATGGCTCTGTCTGTGCTGGTCAGAAACAAAGTCACACTGTTCGGACATTAATGGTTAGAAATGTGGCCTCCTGTGAGAACACAGGTACTTTTAGGTAGTAATGGAGTCTCATTCTTTTGCAATTCCCTAGGTGCCAGCAGCATTTCATAAACATTTGTCATCTAAATTAATCAACTATAAAATGTCTGGGCACCTATAATAACACGCCTCAAAGAAAGCATAAACAGAAAACCCTGAAACGCCATGGACAAACATCTCCATTCAGGATGGACCCTGTGTATGCCTTTATACACTTAACACCACTGAAGGGTGCTGGGGAAGGGCAGGGGTGCCGGGGAAGGGCAGGGGTACCCTCAGGAAGACTCTTAACCTTCACTACAGCCTGCTGCACAACATGGAAGTATACCAGAAACCAAACCACACTGTGTACCAACAGATAGAGTTCTGTGGTTTTTAAAAACTAAGTCTATACAAATGGTTCCTACCACAAAGGAAAAGAAGGAAAAAACAAGCAAACTGATGGGAGTGTGAAGATTTGGAAGCACCAATTCAGATAATTTGAAAAGGATTAAATGTGTATCACAATACATACAGACCCTATTTGATAAAGCTGCCGGCTACAAAACACAATACTCAGCAAAGAGAAAAAGGGAAAAAATGTGGATTCTACTAGTGTATGTAATAAGGAGAAAACGGAAACCCTAAGTGAGACTTTAAAGAGTGGTCTGAAGAGTGTTGCAAAAAAGGCAGTGGGGATACTGATTGCTTTATAAACTTTAGAGAATGTGAGAAAGATAACAATATATAGTCCTAACATACAACCAAGTATTTACTGCCAAACTAGTTGAGGCTGGTTGTTACACAGTGAGAATGAATCCATTTCTTCAACTGGTCAGAACAGCAAGTGTTTTGTTGGAAGCAGCATAATACAAACTAAGGACCATGCCACACCTTGACAACAGCATTTTTCTTCTGTCCTCCATTTAGTTGCTCATAGTGGAAGGGTTTTCACATGGCCAGTTCTGTAGAGCAATAACAAGTGTTTAGAGAAACACTGTCAAGCCATTTAGAATGAGTCAACATTAAAATGAAAAACTAAGAAAAGTAGGGCAGGAAAGATTGGTTAAGTCTGTAAAGTACTTGCCACAAAAGAACAAAGATTTGAATTTGGTCCACAGCACCAAAGTTTGAAAAATAAACAAGCAATAGTCAACAACAGTGGATGGTGGTGTTCGACTGTAATCACAGCAATGGAGAGAGCCGAAGAGAGCTGGATTCCTTGGGCTTGCTGACCAGCCAGCCTCCTCTAATTGATGAGTTCAACAAGAGGACCTGTCTTAAAACAAGGTGGACAGCACCCAAGAACAACACTGGTGGTTGACCTCTGGTCAATGCACCACGTGAGAGGAAAACTTCCCTCCTAATGGGAGGGAAGGAAGGAGAGGGAGATATCTTTTTTTCATTGGAAATCATCTATTTTTATACTGCATAATACGCAATATAAAAAGGAAGGTGGGTACTAAACAGGTTCACTACTAGTGACAAAGTGCCAGGAGGAGAGATGACAGCCACTGCAGCAAAACCAGAAACATGGGGAAGAGAAGACAGGCACCCTGACACTTCTCAGTGAGGACATCAGCTTCCTGGATGGCTGCTCTTACCTAGGTAGAACATGAGAAAATCTGAAAGGTTGGAAAGAGAGGGGAGTGACTTTGATCAGTTTAATTCATGTTAGAAAATGTTAGAGTGCAGAGTCCACAAGAAAGGGAAGATTGTTCCTAAGCTTGGGGGAAAGCAAGACATAGAGGAAGGAAGTCTTTCTTCCTGTGCAGAGGAACAGTAGCCAACTTCATTACAAGGTTGAAAGGGGAAATAACAGGAATAAAACTGCTGTTTATATTGATGATAAGTAACACAGGGGAAATCTGGTTCCTCTTTCTGTGAGGGGAAAAGGGGGTCAGGAGAGGTATGATGCCTTGAAAGGATTAGCTGGAAGTGAGATAGGGCTGGATGTGACCGTCAATGTATCTTAGGAATGTAACTATCACTTTAAAAGGGAGTGGGGTAAGAGGTCTGGGATGGGACTCAGCGGGTGGCAGTGTCTACCTATCATGTGTGAGGCCCCAGCTTCCATACCCAGGTGCCTCCTCCACTCAGAAAAGGCTCTGCATTCTTCAAAGTTCCAAGCCTCCAACAACAATGTTCATTCTCCCTCTTACTGTGCTATCAAGACTGTTTCAGATTCTCATGGGAAATTACTATTCATTTTCAGACATGGTCTCTCTTGTAAGCCTTACTCTGATGATCAAACTCTCTGTAGTTTGGGGAACAAAGTAGGGGGAAAAAATCCCAAATATGGTCATTCTTTTACTTTCCCATCTTACCAGTAGTAGTGCTAATATGGAAATCCCAGATAGACTGGAGTGAGCTGTCATGTCCATCATTACATTTCTTCCACAGCAGTCCCTATGAAAACTGGGAGATACCACAATCATTTGAGATAAAAGAGCAGTACCAGATGATTTGGTCAAAATGAAATAAAGGAATAGACTTTTCCTTGACTGAGTTTCATTTAAAGACAGAATCTTCCATTCTTTGTTTACCTTTATTACTATACCTCCTAATGTTTTTAAAGCTAAATAAAATACAGCTGATGAGTTCTCCAATCATGAACAAAACACTCAGAGACAAGAACTCTCAAGATCCAGCAAGAAAACAAGTTATGTTTTGTTTCCAACATGTGAATGGGAAACAGACAGAAAGCCCTTAGGAAAAATGTCATTTTATCAATACACCAAACAAGTTACAAAACAGTGTGTCTACTGGAGCACTCAACCAGGATACAAGCCACAACAAAAGCAAAATCAACCAAACAAAAAACCACCCCACAGTTCTTAGACTCTATTACAAATGAGAAATGCACACAGTACCATTTCCCTACAAATATAAAGGTTCTGAGAAAGCTAGAAGGCAGGATTTGATGTTGTTCCTCTTAGTTTCTTAAACTTACTTGCCCATAGAACTCTCCTCATGTCCCTTCAAAACATGTTTGTTAAGTACCATCTCCCAACGCACTGAAGGCTATACCAAGACCGCTCATAATTTATCACATAGGCTGATGACAAGTTTGGGTGGCAAATTATGTATTAAGTGCTCTGGAGGCAATTTCCTCAAAACCACAAATGGGAAAAAGTATGAGAGACAATGAAGGTCATTTAAAGTGACAGGTACCTGGAGAATAAATATGCTACCAACACAGTCTAGGTGCAAAAAAGATACCAGGCAATAGAACAATCTTCCAGGGAAAAAAATTCAACATTATCTGCCTTTACCTGTGGTTTTGAGGATCACTTGAAATCAATTATTATTTAGTGTCCTTGTAGGAAGAATTGGAAATGAGCTCAGAGTCTTGACCAATCTCAAAGTGTCACAAGGGTTCCATGATCCAGGAAACAGCTAGGCACTTCTGAGCCTGCTTACTCTTCATCAGAAGAAAATAATACCAACCCACATGACCATAGAAAGGCTTGCACACAATGAGGGAGGTACCTTATAACCAGCTTCTGAAGCTGCAGCCTTGCTGCATAGGGGCCCTACAACAATGGTTCATGTTTATAAAGCCAGCAGGCAGCTGCTCTACCAATTTGGGGAATGGGA